ATTAAAGTAAAGCCCCATCACCACCTCTTGGTTTGCACCCAGCTGCAGCAAAGCAGAAGCACCTGGGGGAAATCTGGGAGGGGAAGAAGAAGAAGAGGAAGGGCAAGACTTACCCTTCCCTCTCCTCTCCCTTTGCTGCCTGTCCTCGCTGGTGGTGACAATTCTGTCCCTCCTTCCCAGGTAAGTCAGTGAGTGAGTGAGATGTAATATCTCCTGGATGCACTGAATTAGAGGCGGCTTTGAGTGAGGTGGCTGCAGAGGCTGGTCTTGGCTCTGTTACTGTTCAGACACCCTTGTCCTGTGATAACCTGTGCCAGGACACCCATGTCCTCTCCTCTGTGTTCCCTACCCCATATGGGGATGCCAGAGGCACAGGGACTTCTCACACCTCTGCCCTGCCTTGCTGGGCACCTGGGTGTGTTGCTTTTGCCCCTTCCTCACCCCCTGGCTTGTCCCCTTGCCTTTTGAGCCAAGTTTATCTTGAGTTGGGTTGATCCCGCTCCAGGCACAGCCCTGGTTTCTGCTGGAGCTTCAGGATCCTGCAACAATTGCACAATTACTCAAGGTTTGGACCATGGACATGTTTCTCCAAACCTGGTCCATAGAGATGTGATGATGGGTTAAACCAGAACTTGTGATGCCGGCTCAGCCCCGTCTCTCCTCATCTGGGCTGTGGGGCTGGAAAAGCCTCAGGAGAGGAGCTGAGAAGAGCAGGTTAAAAGCAAAAGGCTGCCTCGCAGCTCTCCCGGGGCCGTTAGTCCCCACCTCGATGCCTTTGGCCTCTGAGCACGGAGGGGGGTTTGCACGGCACGAGGCAGACTCGGGGAACGGTCGTGCCCGGTGCTGGCACCCGGCCATCGCCCCGGCGCTCCCGGCTCTGCCGCCGACCTGCTTCCCATTATTTGGGAATGCGGCTCTCGCCGGCATATGGGAGGCAGATTTTGGCCGGGGGGTGCAAAGGAGGGGGGGACACGGGGATGCTGATGGCAGCGCTGACCCTCATGTCCCACATGGGGCAGGTACCGGGGGGCTGTCGGCAGCTCGGGGCTGTCTCTGGGGTCTGGAGATGAAACATCTCCGAATCGCCCCCTCCCTGTTGGCTGGCTGCACCCCCAAATCCAGGCTAAATTGCCCGGGGGGAACCTGCAGGAACACTTGCTGGGCTCGCTTCTGGGGGCAGACAGATGGACGGGGAAGAAATATAGGTGAGATTAGCGTTTGTCAGCTGCAGCTGGGCGCCCGGAGCTGTTGTTTCACTTGCAAAGCCCTGCTGCTATTCTGGAAGCTCAGCTTTCTTTTCCCATCTTTGTCCCTTCCGTGAAGGGAAGGTCCCAGCTCCCCATAAGAGCAAGGATTTGATTCAAAAGCTTCTTGGTGCATCCTTGGGTTTTAATGTAGTTTGTGGTGGGTTTTTTTTTCCCTTTTTTTCAGTGATTAGTGGGGTTATCTGAGACCTCGTGCTGGGGATGGCAAGGGGTTTAGCGAAGTGGTGTTTTTTTGCTGTGGGTGACAGTGGCTGGAGGGGGGATGTGGGCCCAGCAGGGGTCTGTCCTTGTGCTCCCACGCTGTCCCCCTCCGCCTCCTGCTGCCCCCCCAGCCCGGGGGAGCCCCTCCAGAGCTCCTTACAGCAGATGCAAGATTAAGCAGGGGGCCGCCCCCTCCCTCCCCAGGCACCCATAAAGAAGGGGAAGGAAGTTTTCCAGGGCCTTTTCCCCAGCCCTGCTCACCAGCCGATGCAAACATCAGGCTTCTTTCCAGATCTTGTTGTTCATTCTTTCCCCCCCCTCTTTTCCCCCCCCGCACTAACCATAAATCAGGTTGTTCCCCCCAAGGACCATCTAATGCAGCTGATCCCACACATGAAGACCACCTCGCAAAGCTCCTTCCCTCCCTCTTCTCCCAGCACGGCTTCAGACTGGGATGCAGGGAGGGCAATGGGGGGAGAGGATGCTCATTGTGTCCCCCCCCTCTCCCTGGGTCCTGCCTGCCAGATCCAGGCTCCCTTCCCAGGCGCTGGAGGCAGAAGCCCTTCAGCTCACGTTCGCAGCCCAGCCCTGCTCCTCTTCTCCATCCCAGCCCCTTCCCCAGGGGAGGATGGGGATTAAGAGGAAGCAGATTAAACCTAATGGATTGATTGCAATTATTTTCCCTTGTTTATTTGCAGTACCGTGTGGGAGCCTGAAAAAAAAAAAAAGGGAAGGGAAGGCTCTTTATGTGTGTGCAGTCCTGGTCCTCATTACGGCTCCTGCTAGAGAGCGACCCGGGCGAGCCAAAAATAAAACCAGCTACATTTGAGCATCCTATTTCAAGCTCTTATAAACTGCTACGTGTAAATACTTCTGTGTGCAAACCCACACGCAATCCTGTGCGAAGCAGCTCCGGCCCCGGCCCCGCGAGGTCCCAGCTCCCCTCTCCCACGTGTCCCGCGTTCCCTGGGGACACGCACCCTCCAGGAGCCATCGGAAGCTCCTTGGGGCAGGAGCCAGCCTCTTGTTTGGGGGAAGCTTTACCTGTCCCTGCGCCTGGTTGGGTTTTTTTCCCCAAAAAATTTGACTGCCCGAGGGCTGTGTGGGAATTTAGCATCGGAAATGCACCCTGTATCCCTTTGCCTGCCCGGAGCTGAGCCCTACAAGCCCTTCCTGGACTTGTTATTGAGATGGGGCAAATCTTTACAAGTCTCCCTGGCTCTGGAGATTTTATTTAGGATCCGGGGAAGCTGATCCTGCACCTTGGGGTGCCGAGGGCAGCATTGAGGGCACAGAAATAGGCGCCTTGTTCCCAAAACAGCAAATGCTTCAAAATAACTGGACTTAAGCCTTTTAATGCTCTTTTACAGCAGCTGAAGTAACTCAGTGGGGCAGGAGGAGGATGTTACCTCCTTTTTCTGGGTTTTTTCCCCAACATCCGAGGTCTTTCCCAGAGTGTACCGGCTGTGCCAAGGTGGGGAGCAGGGTGGGAATGTGGTGGGAAGTGCTGGGGGTGCTGGGGACGTTGCCTGGCACCACTGTAAGCTGCTGGACAAAGCCGGATAAGTCGTGCGAAGCTCCCGACGCCGCGTTCCTGGCGGAGATCCGAGCCTCCTCCGAGCGCTCCCAAGAAATCCTCCTCCACCAGATAAGGGCAGACTTTACATTCCTGCTGTTTATAAGGTTAAAATAAGAGGATGGGGAAGAAAGAAGGAAAAAAACACCCCACCCTTGAAGGCTTAGAGGCTGTCTTTCCTATCATGGATTCAAGAATCTCAGTTCTTGGCTGGGGGGGGCAATAACCAAGCGGCACACCAACGTGGTGATGCTCTTTATTGGCATCTGACGGATACACAAGGACAGCTACCCACCCCGTGCATCGCCCCCCCACCTCATGCTGCTCACACACCCCCCCGCAACCCCCCAACTCCTTCTACGACGGCTATTTCATCACCGTAAAACTTCCTAATAAATCGGCACTGGCATTACGGAGGGGGGAGTGGAGAAACACACATTCTTTGTACAACAGAAACATTAGAAAAGGACACAAAACGTACCGACGAGCACTAACTTTGGCTTGATTTTCCCTCCTTGATTTTGTTTTTGTTTTATTTTTTATTATTATTTTTATTTTTTTTTCCTGCAACCAGGGATTTGAGGCATCCCCCGGCTTCTCTTTGGATGCTGAGTTTGTCTCCGTTTCCTCGGCCCTGAGGAAATCCCTTTACTATGGCAATTGAAACCTGAGACCGTGGCAATATTGTCCTGAAGAAAAGCAATTCCTAGCTGGCAAGGTACGGCCAGGTTGGCTTGTCGGACTGAATTGGGCAGTTTGTTTTGCTTTTGATGTGGGCACTTTATTCCCAGTGGCCCTCAGTTCGTATTTGAGTCACTTCACCGAAAGAAGGGACTGATGGAAACAACCTGACGACAACAACATTTCAATTCATCCAAAAGCATCCCTGTGGATGGCTTGGTCTCGGAAGGAGCCGGCTCCCCAGCCAGGGGCTCACAAGCCTGAGTTGCCCACTGCAAGTGGGGTTGCATATTTGGGGCATTTTCCTTGGATTTTAGTGATGGGAGAGGGTCGGGATGCACACGTGGGATTCGGAGCCCTGTCAAGGCCAAGTGTTTCTAACCAACGTGCTTGGCGTGGGCTGCCAGTGGCCAAAGTCATTCCTCCAAAGGGATTTTTGCTCTTTTGTCACTCGAGGGCAGGAGGCATCAAATATCCCATCCTGGAGATTCAGGTTCAGCCTGTCTCGCTTTATTATCCAAAGAATAGGGGGCAAAATTCCCAAAAGCTTTTGAAGGACCTGGGCACTCGAATCCTATTAATGCAGGCTCCAATCCCTTGGGAAGCACCGAGCTCTCCCTCCTGACGCCCGGCCTCTCCACTGGGAACAGCCAGTCCTTCCATGTTCCCACATGGATCTGCTGCAGTGATTTTGGGGGTGTGCATGTTTTCCTGCCTCCAAATTGAGTCTTTAAGGCCAGAATGGAGGTGGGACTGAAGGCTTGGACCACAAAATGAGCATGAAAGGCCGTGAGGAAGAGCAGAAGGGCCAGATCGGGGATCGTCACCCCAAGTCAGATGTAGAAATATCGAGCAATTAGTAAAACAGAATCAGAGAATGAATCACAGAATGCTATGGGTTGGAAGGGACCTCTGGAGCTCATTTCCTCCAACCCCCTGCCAGAGCAGGTCCATCCAGAGCAGGTCCCACAGGAACGTGTCCAGGTGGGTTTGAATGTCTCCAGCGAAGGAGACTCCACCCCCTCCCTGGGCAGCCTCTGCCAGGGCTCTGCCACCCTCACAGGAAAGAAGTTCCTCCTCATGTTTAGGTGCCACTTCTTATGTTCACGTCTGTGCCCATTTCCTCTTGTCCTGTCCCTGGGCACCACTGAAAAAAGCCTGGCCCCATCCTCCTGACTCCCTCCCTTTGAGTATTCATAGGCGATGATCAGATCTCCCCTCAGCCTTCTCTTCTCCAGCCTAAAAAGCCCCAAGTCCCTCAGCCTCTCCTTGTAAGAGAGATGCTCCAGGCCTCTCATCATCTCTGTAGCCCTCTGCTGTCCCCTCTCCAGCAGTTCCCTGTCCTTCTGGAACTGGGGAGCCCAGAACTGGACCCAGTGCTCCAGATGAGGCCTCACCAGGGGCACGACAGTACTATTTACAAGTCTTGCTTATCTCCTTAAGGAGGGGAAGAAAATCACCTTCTGCCTTCAGGAAAGAGTTTCTGGATGAATCCAGAGGTGAAGGGGGAGTCCAGAGGCACGGATGTACCTGCAGTCCTTCCTCTGCAAAAAGTTCGTGATGCTCCAGGCAAGTGAGATGTCAAAGCTGTACCTGGTGTTGGGGACATGCCCCAGAACCATGGTGACAGCTCACTGGGGGAATGGGGTACTCACCCACCCACAGGCTGCTCCCCAGCATCACCCATGAGTGAGCTGGGTGCTGGGCAGGGAGCTGATATGCCAAGGAAATGCATTTATAGCTCTGGAGACGTGGAATCGGTGAGCGATGTCCCCTCCCCAGGGCTGCGGTGGGGTCCAGGCAGAGGGAGGTGCTGCGGCCACCCAAGGATGCCCCAGGGAGGCAGTCGGTGCACGGAGGGTGGGCAGCACCCAGATGGAGGTGAAGAGCCCACGGGGAGCAGGCAGGGGTGTTTCTGAGCCCCTCCTTCACAGTGCTGGAGGAGAAGAAGCCCTTACAAGCAGGGGTCAGGACCACCAGCCCCGTCTGGGTCTGCGGGCGAGCAGGGACAGTGCAATGGCAGCAGGGGGGCTTTGCTCCTGGGTGGGTGCAGCACGGGGACACTGGGGTTGGTGCCAGGGGAAGGATGAGCAGAGCCCTTTCATCGTGTCCCCGTTGTGGGCAGGCACTTTTTCAGCCCTTTGGACCTTCGGTGTCCTCCTGTGGATCTCCAGCACCAGGGAGGTGGTGGCACCCAGACACCTGGTCTCCAACATTGAGGTGGTCCCCGCAGCTCCTCGCCCAGCCCAAACGCTGGCAGCCTCTGGGGACTGTACATGGGGGCTGCGTCCCCCAAATTTCACAGTGTAGGTTGGGCTGCCGGAAGCCAAGTCCTTTCCCCCAGCCCACCCCCTCTCCGTGGCACAACCTGGCCGTGGGACCAGCCCCTTCCCCAGATCCCAGTAGAGAAGCTCCGGTTCTCTCCGTGCCCATCCCAGCCCTGCCCTTCGCCTGCAGTTTGGGGGGAAGCAGCTGGATTTCAGGGCATTGGAGGGGAGCAGGAGATAACGGCAGGGTGGGCCAAGGAGGAAGGGTGGGAGGAAGAGGAGAAATGGAGCCCCAAGGAGGAAGGAGAAGGGCTGGAAGGGGAGAGAGGAGAGGGCTGAGAGCGAGGTGCTCGTTCCTGCATCCCTCCAGCCTTGCGAGGATGCAGATGATGCTCCGGAGGCAGATGGGCTTCAGGCATCGAGGGACAGCGAGCCCTGCACCCACCCCACTTATGGGGTCCCGGGGGGAGGCGGCGCTGGGAGGGGGCGATACCGAAAACAGGAGCTCAGTGCATACAGGGCTGTAAATTGAGGGAGCCCGGGGAGCCCCCGCTTCCTTCTCACCCTCCCCTCCAGGGCTCTTGGTGCCAGGGAGGGGGGAGGCGAGGGGGAGAAGGGGGAAGGGGACCCCGCGGGGCCACCCCGGGCCACCCTTCAGACGGGGGAGGTGGCGGTGGACTCGCTGTACAAGCTCTCGGCGATGTCCCCGCGCTGGATCTTGCGCAGGGCAGCGAGCAGGGCGTCGAGGGTGGCCGTCTCCTTAGAGGACCAGTCGGCCAGGAGAGCCCGGGCGGGCGATTCCTCCCGGGTGAAGGAGTCTATGAGGTCCTCTTTGTAGCCCAGCTCCCCGGCCAACTGCCTCCACGTCTCCTCCGTCGAGCTGCTCAGCAGCTTCTCCACCTCCTCCTGCTTGCTGGGCGGCAGGGTGGTGTAGAGGTTCCCGTCTCCCTTGGGTGCTGGGATGGAGGAAGCGGCGTTAAGCCCGTCTCTGGGGTACCCCTGCCCACCCTGCAGCACCCCGTTAGCCCTACCTGGCCCCTGGGTGCTCTGGTTGGGTGGCTGCTGGTCGTGCAGGCTCTGGCTGTCCACCGAGATGCCACTGTCGCTGTGCAGCTTCTCCCCCTCCGGAGAAGGCGTCTGGTTGACCGGGCGGTTGTTGGCCCCTTGCTTGTTCTGTTTGCAGTTGTTCCACCTGCAGGAGAGGAGCGGGGAGGTGACAGCCGGCGGTGACATCCTCCAGGCTGGGAGGAGGTGTGTTGCTTTGTCCCCCTTTCCTGGGGGACCACTTCTCCCAGGGAGAAGTATTTCTCCTGCAGCCTCAGCCTCTCCAGCACGGTGGTTGGATTGGTTTAATTCAGCAGTTCTAGCTGCCAAGTGGATGCTGAGCTCCTGAGATGATTTATCTGGTGGCCCCAGAGCTGGAGGCAGCACTGGGAGGGTCTCCCCAGAGCAGAGGGGCAGAATCCCCCCCCGACCCTGCTGGGATGCAGCCCAGGGTGCTGGGGGATTTCTGGACTGTGAGCGACAAGGACAGGGCTCCCTTCTGCATGGAGCTGCTGCAGGAAAAACCCTGCCAGAGCTTGCAGGGGTCCCGGGGCTGGCTGTGGGTCCCCAAAACCCTCAGGGTGCCTCCAGCCTGGGGTGCCCAGGGAGAAGAGGAGCCAGCTCTGGCTTGCCCAGGTCCAGGTGCAAGTCCAACGTGCCAGGGATGAGCGGCTGAGCATGATCGACCATGACGTGCCGGAACGAGCAGGGGCCGGGCAGGGGGATGGTTGTGGTAAGGGCTGGGTGAGGTGCATGGTATATACTGCCCCCCCCCAACCCACTGCCATCTCCCTCTTTCACCCCCTCAACCTGATTTCTCATGCATTTTTGGAGATCCGGCTCCTACCCCCCCAGCCTGGTCCCCTTCCCTCCCTTGTTGGTGACAGCTCCGGCCGCAGGACCTCCAAGGGGGGACACATATACCCTGTTTCCCCACCACCCAAATCCTCTGCCGTGCCCCCATGGCACTGCCAGGGTCCCCCACCTTTTGAAAGCGATGTAGGCCACCAGCCCCACCACCACGGCCGCCAGGATGGAGCAGTAGACGGGGATGAGGTTGTCGGCGGTGCCGCGGCTCACGACGGGCTGCGAGCTGCCCATGACGGTGGTGACGGTGTCTGCCAGGGTGCTGGGCATCACCTCGGTGTTGAAGGGATCCCTGGTGATGGGCTCGGGGCTGTCAGAGCCCACCAGGGATGGCGTGTGTGTTGTCCAGCGAGGGTGAAGGTCTGCCAGGCAGGAGGGGAAGAGAAATGAGAATAATTAGCCATGCCTCGTAACGGGCTGTGGTGGGTGAAGGGGGAAAAATCTCTGGAGGAATCTTCTTCCAATGGATGTGGGACTTGTGGAGGTGCCAGCTCTGCCCCATCCCCTTGTCCCCAGCCTTGTTGTTGCAAACCACCTCGTCCCCAGACAGCACCTTGGTCCCCAGGACAAGCCGAAGCCGTCCCCTGTCCCGATGGTGACCTGGTGACAGATGTGGACATGGCCTTGTGAGCTCCTCTTGGCCAGCACTGGCTTTGCTGGGGTCCTACAGCTCTTCCCCTGACCTCCACGCTCCAGACTGAGCCCTGGGCTCCCATTGCTGGTACCGAAGCCCCAGCTGCCTCCCGTCCTGCAGGGCAGCATCCCTTGCCAGCAGCACCAGAGCCTGGATTTGCCCCTTTCCCAGCCCCTGCCGTGCACCCCACCAGCCTGGCCCCATGTGGGAGTCACCCCATTCCCGACGCACCCAGGCGTGTCCCACGGAGCGGGTGGATCCGCCTGGTCTTGCCCAGGGAAAACGCTCTCACCTGCAGCTGCCCCATCCCCTCCCCTGGGTGCCGGCTCCTTCCCAATTTGCTCCCCCTTTCCCCCCAACCCCTGCACCCCTTTCCAGGGGGTGTCCCCACCGGCAGTGACCCCGGGTGAGGATGGAATGGGTACCACGGGGGCAGAGCTGGCATCTCTCCCACCCGCCCGACTCCCCGCTGCCCTTTCGGAGCGGCGTTTCAGTGGCCGACAGGGCTTTTTCCGGTGGGTCCCCCCCCTTGTCACGGGCTAACAAAGCTGGCCCTGTGCTCCTTGACTTATGGCTCCATTTACTCGACCCTTTCCAGGGAGCTGCGCTGGCTGCCCCCGCGCTGGGAATCGGCGGCCGCCGGGACAAAGCTCTTTTTCTCCTCGGCCGGGCTCGGGGCAGGGAACGGCGCTGCTGCTGCCAAGGAGGGACCGGGGTGTCCCCAGAGGAAGCAGCCCTGATGCTTCTTAGGGGGGCTCCGCAGGGCTGTGGGGTGCAGGCTGGCAATGCGGGGGGGCTGCTGCCAGAGAATGATGCTCACCCCCTTCCCCGGGGCACCAAACCCTCCTGGGCTGTGGGGCTGGTTGTTCTCTGCTTCTTTGGGGCACTTAATTCCCATTGGAAACCCATCGGCTGCCAAGATCCCTCCTGATGAAGGCTCAGGCAGTGGTGAGCATCTCATCCAAAACTGGTGAACCTCTCAGCTCCCCCATGCTGTTCCTGGACACTAAAAGCCACCCAAGGCAGAGTCCCCTGGACCCACCGTAGTGTCCTGCTGGGAGCTCGGCCAAGGAAGCCCCTGGAAAGGGCCGGGCAGACCCTGGGGCCGGGCACTCACAAGGGAGACAAGGGCTGATGGAAAACACTGCCTCCATAGCAATCTGTGCTCTGAAATGCCCAAGGGCTCAGCTGGATACCAGGGTCCTCTCCTCCGAGCCCACAGACAAGTCCCTGTCACCCCATTGCTGTGGTCCAAAAGGAAACTGAGGCAGGGAGGGCTAGAGGAGAGCCAGCTCTCCCGTCCACAAACCTCCTCCCCGGAAAAGGCGGCGTTACCTCTGCATTCGGCGTCCGAGATGGCCGTGCACTCCTTCACCATCACCTCGTTCTCCTCGCAGGTGGTGCAGGGCAGGCAGGGGTCCACGAAGTTGGCTTCGCTGGAGAAGGTGCCCTCGGGACACTCCTCGCAGACGGTGTCCTGGTTGTCCCGGCAGGGGTACACGAGGCCGAAGCCCACCTCGCAGACCTGGCACTCCTTGCAGCTCCCGCTGGGCTCGTCCTGGTAGTAGCCGTAGGCGCAGCGGCACACGGCGTCGTCCGACTCCACGCAGGGGGCAGACATGCTCTGCAGCCCCACGCACTGCGTGCAGGGCTTGCACGGCTCCGTGGCGCTCACTGTGTCCGAGTAGGTGACACCTGGCAGGGGACAGAGCTGGGAGGTGAGCATCCGGGAGGTGGTTGAGTCACCAGGGAGGTGGTTGAGTCACCGTCCCTGGATGTGTTTAAGGGATGTTTAGATGCGGTACTGAGGGACATGGTGTAGGGGAGGACTTTGTAGAGTAGGGGAGATGGTTGGACTCCATGATCCCAAGGGTCTCTTCCAACCTCAATGATTCTATGATTCTATGATTCTATGATCCATTTTCCCCCTGGACTGGGCACTGGTGAGGCCCCACCTCGAGGGCTGTGTCCAGTTTTGGGCCCCTCACCACAAAAAAGACACTGAGGGGCTGGAGTGGGTCCAGAGAAGGGCAACGGAGCTGGTGAGGGGTCTGGAGCACCATCCCCATTTTTGACCTCCAGATGGTCCCCGTGGGCATCCTACAGCCATTGCTGCTCCCCAGCCATCCCTAACACTTTCTCCTCCACATCCTGCCTGGGGGGGTCCCTCGGGGCATCACCACCCTGTGCCCCCCTCCTCGGCCGCGTGTCCCTGACGCGGGGCGTGATGCGAACAGGAGGTTACAACACTAATTGCTGACTCTCCTCTGACCCCGGGGCTTCTCACTCTCCGGTTTCATCCCGAAGGACTGACTCTGCCGGGGAAATCAATCCTCCTCCCGCAGCCCAGCAAGCCACCCCCGCGCCCCCTCCCTCCCCCTGCCCGCTCCCAAAGGTGTTTGAAGATATTTTTAGCCCTGGAAGACGGGTCAGCTCCCGTCCTGGAGGGCACAGCTGCTGTCCCTGTGTTGGCTGCCCCCCATGCATCACCCCCCCCAAGAACCCTCACTGCCCCAACGCCCCCTCTTCCCTGGTCTGAAACACCAGGGGAAAGTCCAGCCTCCTTGATGGAGAAGGTGTTGGGGAGATGAAGCACAGTCCCTCTGGTAGCCCTGCTCCTCGGGAAGGCAGCCCAGCCACGTGCTGATCTGTAATCACCTCCTTGTCTCCCGCGGATGATCGTGGGAGACAGCAATTCCCACCCTTGGTGGCCTCCAGCCTTCCCTGGGTGGCCAAGGAGAGACCGAGCCACGGACAGGCTCAGGGCAGAGCCGTTCCAGTGCTTGATTTTTGGCTGCTTTCAAGATAGAGGGGAAGGAAGAGCCCTGAGACCATGGTGATGGGCAGAGTTAGCATCTCCCGCTCAGGAGGAGCAGGATGGAGGTGCCATCCCAGCCTCAGTGGCTCATTTCCCACCGTGGCTCAGGGGCAGCAAACCCTGAGCAGCGACAGCCGAAACAATTCCAACCCCCCCAACACCTCCCACCCTGTGTCTGCGCGTCCTGCTCCTCCCTCAGGACCTGCTCCATGCCCTCCCTGGAACTGCAGGACCCTGGGGATGTACCCGCTCCACGGCTGCTGGCCCCAAGCCACCACCTTGGCTCTGCCCCGGGGTGGGCTAGCAGCCCACCGCCCCACAGAGCCAGAGCAGCACCGGGTCGGCCGCCGGCACGCACAGCTCCCATTAACCTGGGCTCATCCTTTGCATTATTCTGAATTATTGATAGGCACCATTAGAGCGGGGAAGTGGCCAGGAAAGGCATACGGCTGAGTGGGCACATTTTCAGTGGCAGCAAGGTATCTGAGCTGAGCAATTACAGCCCAGATTCAAACAGGGCCCCCTCCCTCCCGCCCGCAGCGATGGAGGCTGGCGAGGGGGATAAATAAATCATGAGGCAGCAATCAGGGGTGGCTGGCAAGGAGGGGGAAGAAGGAAAATTATAATATATGTTAAAAAAAAAAAAAAAAGGCAAGTAGCCATTTGGGCTAATGCAGGGACTGCCCCCCCCCCAGCCCGCACAGGCTTTGGCAGGGGCGTAGCAAATTTTTGCAAAACAATTTGGCTGGTGAATCGGGAAGATGTCCAAGGTTCAAACTCGGAGGCAGCCCCCGGGTGGAGGTGGGGATCCCGGCGGCCCAGGGCCGTGCCCACATTCCTCCCCATCGGCTCACGCCTGGCAGCGGGATGCTCTGCCGGGACCGGGACTGCCTGCGCCAGCCCAGCCCCAGCGGGGTCCAAAAAGACCCTCTCCCCATCCCAACAAGGGCTGACGATGGGGTTTGCAGGTCTCCTTCTCCCCCACCTTCCCCAAAATCCCGCTCTGGACTCAGAGGAAAATTGGGGGAGGTATTTGCCCTCTTGCAACACCTGCACCCGTGAGTCACCCCCACCCAGCTGACGAGCTTCTGGGGATTAGTCCCTGCTGCCATTAATGATTGTATGAAAGGCTACAGCTGGGGGAGGGCTGGGGGTACAAAGCAGGAGGGTTTGCAGGGGCTTTATCCTGGTTGTAGCTCCCCAGCTTGCCTGTTCCTCCCCTCTTTGAGGTAGTGGAGGGGCTGGGTCACCCCCTTGGTGCTGCTTCTTATGATATTTTTCCTCCACACCCCCCCAGTTCTCGGAAAGAAATCAGGGAGACAAGCCATCTGCCAGCCTGGAAGTGCAGGGGGTTACGGAAAACAGCCTCATCAGAGCATCCCTAGGAATGCAAAGGGATTTACAGCCCTGAGGACCCAGGAGCTGGAGCCTGACACCCCAGGCAAGTTCCCTGCAGGAAGGGATCGTGGGGTGGGTGGTGGATGCCCCAGCACCTCCCAGCAAGATGGGTCTGAGCTGGTCACAGCCTGGGAAGGAGTGATCCCAGGGGGGTTACCCTGCACAGCATCCCTGAGGCTGCAGCCGGGGGTGGGATCCAGCCCCTGCAGCCAGACCCTGGGAGGGTGAGCGCCCTTCATCGATTTTGCAGGAAAGCAGAGGTATTTTTAGCGCTGCCCTGACACCGCTCCGTCCCCTGTTCCGTGCTGGTGCTGCTCTGCTTGTACTGCTTTTCCCCCCTTAGAATTTCCCTCCTCTTTCCTCTCCCCCAGCTGTGCTTTCTCCCTTCCCCCTCTCAAATCACCTCCCCAGAGCAATCCGGGCTCGGCTGGCACAGCTTTTTCCTACAAATAGTTGTCCTTAGGCCTTCAAAGGGTTTGCAGCAGTAAATCTGAAGGGCAGATTGCTTATGCCTATCCATGGCATTGTTTAAACTGTAATAGTTGGACCACTTCATCTGTAAGCATTTAAGCAGGTCTCCAGCACACATCTCCGGCCGACATTTATGAAGCATTTGACATAGGCAATGCGCCTGGAGTTGGCCAGGAGAAAGCTGTTCCCTTCTCTCTTGGGGACCTACATGATTTGCTTCTCCCCTCTCAATCTTGCTTTTTATTTTGCAGCCTTTACCGGGTTTAAAAGAAAAAAAAAAAAATATTAAAATTGAAATACAGGTGGCCCATGGGGAGACATCCCCGTGGCTGGATCAGAGACTGATGTGCAGTCAATACGGGGAGGGGAATTTTTTGAAGGCAAATGCTGGCCGTGAGCCAGTAGCCAGGGAGCCATCGGGAGGGGAGCAGTGCTAGAAGGGGGAGGAGGGGTCTGCAAAGGTGCCTGGCACCAACGGGTCCCAAAACGGGGAGAGCTGCTGTGTCCGGGGCTGGGATTTAGGGGGCAGATGCTTTGGGGAAGTGCTGGGGTGTCAGTGCAGAGGTGGGTGTCCTGGGAAGGCTGCCTGGGGGTGATGCTGTGCATGGAAAGATTGAAGGAAACGGCACAAATTGTGCCCAGGTAACACTTCCAGGAGGAAAAGAGGGTGCAAGTGCCTACTAATGCTCATGGTCCCCAAAATCCCTCCCTGGACCCTGTGTCAGCCCCTTTGTGGCCCTTCGGGGGGGGGTGTGGGTACTCACTGTCCAGGCAGGGCTCGCAGACGGTCTGGTTGACCCCGCAGGGCTGCACCACCCCCTCTCCCAGGTTGCAGGCTTTGCAGCACTCCCCGCTCGTCGTGTACATCTTGGTGAAGCACTTGTCCTTGGAGCCCCAGGCGGGTCCCTGGGAGAGAAAACAGAGCCGGGAGGTGACCCTTGTTGTGGGACCCAACCTGCAAGGGCAGGTAGAGACACGCGTCGCACCCAGGTAAGGTCCTGCTCTGGGGGGGACATCCCATCTCGGGGCTAAAGGGGGCTCACATTAAACACAGGTCTTGGGAGAAATGGCTGTCCTGTGCAAAACTCATTCATCAGGAAAACCCACGTCTCCAGGGTCTGGGCTGATGGGTGTTATTTTAGGGGAATGTGGGCTTTTCTGCATTGTTTGCCTTTCTCTGTCATCTGAGTTGTCTCCTCTAAGGATGCTTTGCCATCCTGAAGGGTCCAGCCCTTCCCACCCCACAGGCTGGTGGCCGGGAGACCTGCCTGCCACTATGGAGGGTTTGGAGAGCTGGGGTGGCAGCTCTGCACAATGGTCTTGTTTCGGATGGGGATGGTAAATCAGACCCTGGGGTGGAAATTAAGACCTTGAAGGAAGCACCGAGAGCTTCAGCGACACCCCTGTCTAATGGCAGTGAGCGTATCTGCCTATAAAACCTGTCGTCACATATGGAAGCAATAAACCTGCCACGAGCGGCGGGGTCAGAGCCACCCTCCACATGCACTTTGCAGCCTGGGGTGCATTTTCAGGGCAGCTGCTCCCCAAAACACCTCTTGGCCGGGGTGTGGAGGAAGCCTCCTTGCCCAGGCGTGGGGTTTCCAAGATGCTCGTGATGATCTGAGCTCTGCCAGGGCTCCTTTTGCTCCCTCTGCACGCAGGCAGGTGTGCTCCAAGGCTGGACCATCCCTTTGCCATCCAACTAAGTGTGATTTTTTGATTTTTTTATTTTTTTTTTAATGGAGAGGGGAAGAAACTCTGCTAAGGCTGGGAGAAAGCTGCTCCCTCCCCGTGCATCTGGATGCCTCGTCAGCCAGTTGGCCGCCTCCTTGCACAATGCGGCGTTATGAACTCGCCTTGTGCATCATCCGGCAGCATCCGGCCCGGGCTGAGACAATGGAGCGCCAATTATAGGCATCTGAATGACAAAGTGCTCCAATTACCCTGCGCTTGAAAGCATGTGCTCTCTCCTCCCTGGCGCTGCTTTCACCAGCCCAGCCTGGCAGCCCGCTCCCGCCACCGGCTCCCAGCTGCACAGGCAGGAGGGATTTTTGGGGAGGAAGGGTGGGATGGGGGGGTGTCTTCCCAGCACCCCCAAATCACAGCTGGGAAATGGGTTTTGGGGTGAGGAAGGGGTTTGCTTTGCAGTGCGACGTTTTTGCCCCCCACTTCCTCCCTCTGGGCAGTTGTATGAGATCTGCAGGATGGGGAACCCCCGGGTGGCCCCCGGTGGGGAGGGATGGAGGATGCTGAAGGTGAGATGGGGGTGGTGACCACCCCCCAAAAAAAACCAACTTGGGGTGAAGTCTTAGGGCACACCACAGGGCAAAGCTCTGACTTTAAGTCCCAGTTCAGCTCCAGTTCAGCCCAAATCCAACCCCAGCTCAGCTCCTGTTCAGCCCCAGTTCAACCCTGGTCCTGCCCCACCTCAACCCCAGTCCTCCATCCCCGGCTTGGAGTGTGTCTCCCCTTCTTGGGCAGGGGTTTGCCCCCCTCTTATCCCACCCCCCCTCCATGGTTGTGGCAGCAGCAGCCGTGAGCGGGGCTGGGGGAGCAGCCGAAACGTGCCTGGCTATAAATAAGTGCTGGGAAGGCTGGGGCACGCAGCTGGGGCCGGCGGTGGCCAGCTCTCCCACTGGCCAGCTCTCCCACGCCGCAGGCAGCTGCGAGCGGCCCCGGGTGCCTGCGGGGATGGGACCCGCCGTCCCGCTTCCTCCCCGCGACACCCCGACCCCCGGCAGCTGATGACCCCAGGGACCCCCTCTGGCCACTCTCACCTCCCCACAGGGCTGCCAGAAGCAGCCCATGCTTCTTCCCTGCCGGGTCCCCCCACCTCCACACCCCCAAATGCTGTAGAAAAAGGCACCTTCCAGCCCCAGGTGCTGCCCCCCCCGCCCTGCTCCGCCTGCGTTTCCCCTTCAGTTCTGCATCCCGAGCGCTGAAACCCCCATAAAGATTAACACAGTTATAAGAGGGGCACATGGTCTGCATTAGCCGGCTGAAATGTGCATGTTATTAACACAACTCCTGTTGACAAAGCCACAGGTATTAACACCATAAAGCATTTTGACAGCTGGACCAAGGAGGGGGGGGACGGACGGACGGAGGGCACGAGCGACACCTCTGTAAGCTTTTTAATTGCTTTTTGGGGTTGTGTCGGTGGCTTTTTGTGTCCTAGCAGATGCCGCCGGCTGAGGAGATGGGCTCGGAGGAAGCCAGGAGAAGCGGGAGTTCGACACGGCCCCGTGAGCCCCGGAGCCCTGGCAGGGAAATCGCTTCTCACCGGAGCGGGGAAGGGAGGGGATGCTGCAGCTGGAGAGGAGCCCGGTGACAAGCCTGGATCCGAACCGCCCGCGAGCCCCACAGACGGGCTCTGCCTCTCTTGGCGAAGCACCCTGTCTCGGAAAAGCCAAACCCCTGGCTCTGAGCAATCCCCAAACTTTGGGCAGCAGAGAAAGCCACGTCGGAGGTCTGCGGGTCCGGCCAGCCCTCGGCACGGCGGGACCGGGAGGGCTCTGCCTCTGCCCACGCGGAGCTACCGGCCGAGCAGCGCAGGTAAAGAGCAATGAACGTGGGGTGTCCAGGGGTTGGGGTGGCCCCGGGGCTGTGGCCACAGCTGTGGGTGCACATCTGGACCTGCCCAGGAGAGGGGTCAGCAGAGCCGCCGGGCTCCCCCTGTTCCCTGGACTCAGTGGGTGCAATCCTGGGGGGCAGACCCAGCCCTAAGGCAGTGGGTGCCCCGTGGGGCTCAGCCCTGACCCGGGGAGGCGGCTGCTGAGATTTGGGGGGGACACAGAAGCCCAGCCTCGCTGCGGGAAGCAGGGAGCTGCCCCAGGTGGGCAATTCCCCGGGGTGAAATCACTCCAATCCATATGGCTGGGGCATCTCTTGCCTTTCCTGCCACCGACCCTCTGCCACGAGCGTCCCCTGGGGAGTGTGACCGGCCCGTTCCCCCACCCGGTACCGTGGGTGAATGGGGGGAGACCCTCTGACATGGACCCACAGGCACCACTCTCCTCCTCAGCTTTAATATCCCGCCCGAGAGGTGTCCTGCTGCCCAACCGAACCTCTGGGACCCTGTCAAATCCTCCCCCAGCCAAAACCCCATTTCTGCCCCAGGTAGGTGGTCTATCCCTGTGTGCCCAGCTCTCCAGCTCCGGGTGTTTCCCTCTCTCCTGTCACACCCCTCCGTGCCCTGAAGTTCTGTCTCTGGCACACGCCGAGGCTGTGCCCGTCCCGGGGGCTCATGCCAGGGGGGGAAGAGGGTCTTGCCCATCACTCTGGGCAGCAAGTGTAGAGCTGGGAAGATCTAAAGGAGATTTTGGGGGATGTGGGGTGGCATGAGCTGAAGGCACTGGGGTGTGGGTGGCTTCTCCCCCCCCTCACCCATTGACAGAAGACTCTGTCATCCTTTAATCCTGGGTAAAAGGGATGGCAGAGCTCGGTGCAGCTCTCGGGACCGGAGGGGCTGCACAAGCCATCCCTGGGGGTCCCCCATCCCCACCCATTGCCCCCAGAACTGTTCTGCCTGCCCCCCCCGGGTCCCCCTCCCTGCTGCCCGGTGCCTCGGGGACCTGCCGCCCCGAACCCTCAGGGCTCCCGGTCCCGGTACATGTGGGACCCTCCGTGTCTGCAACCGGGTACCCCGGGGGGCCCTCCCAACACCCCGGTGCGGTGCCGCCGGGCCTCCCCATCCCACC